AATAATAATAATAATAATAATAATAATAATAATAATAATAATAATAATAATAATAATCAAACAGCTTGAGTCCTCAGTGAGAGTGCCCAAAATGGAAGATGTGAAAATAACAAAGGAAATAGTTCAAAGTCAATCAAGAAGAAAAAAGAACTGGAGCACACCTGGATCAGATGAGGGGCATGGCTTTTGGCTGGACGCGACGCACTAACAAGCTTACATGAAAGACTTGCTGTCCAAATGAACCAATTATAGAAATGCCTGAAAATGATGAATGGTTAACAATTGGAAATACTTTTTTAATTTAGAAAGAGAAAGACAAAGGAAATGATCTATGAAATTACTGACCAATTACCTGCTTGCCAACAAGCTATAAGCTTCTTACTGGCATAACAGCAAATCAAATTTATGGATACTTGAAAAGGAAAGATCTGCTCCCAGTGGAACAGAAAGGGTGCTGCAAAAACTTAAGAGGAACAAAAGACCAGCTGCTGATTGACAAGCTAATTCTGAAGAATTTGAAGAAAAGGCGAACCAACCTGTTCATGGCTTGGATAGACTACAAGAAAGTGTTCAATTCAGTCCCTCACAGCTGGATTAAGAAATGCCTGGAAATCTTTGGCATCAGCAGCAACATTAGAAAATTCATGAAAATTTCAATGAACCTCTGGAAAACAAAGCTAATGGAGAAGAACTGGGTGAAGTTGAAATTAAACGAGGCATCTTCCAGGGTGACTCCCTTTCACCCCTATTATTTATTCTAAACAATTTTATTTGGGTTTTCACAAAACAAAATGAAAAATAAAACATCTTTTTTAGTGAACAGCATGGTTCCAGGTTTTCACATCTCCATACAGATAAAATTTCAGTTACATATTCATCTTTCATATTCAATTTCTTATTTTATCATTACTTTATATATTCTCTATTTGTTTTTACTCAAATACCTCCCTCAAGCTTATTTTATAGTTTTCTCATTCATTTCCAAATCTATTTCATTTCCTTTTCAAAATTTCCATATCTTCACAACCATTGTACTTATACTTTTATCTGTTTACAATTTCACTACATATTCTTATATCATCATTTCCCAAAAATTTCCTCCACATTTCAAATATTACAAAGCAAAACAAGGTCCCCTGTAATTACCATTTAAAGTATGTCACCTACATATCTTATAATTTGTTCCGTTTCAAATCCTATTAAACATTCTACTTTTAAATTGTCCCCTTAAACAATTATAACATTCATCGCCTAATAACTATATTATAACATAAATCCCTTTTCAGTCAGATTCCACATGGTACACCTATTATTTATTCTGTCAATGCTACCACTGACAACCATTTTTAAGAAGGTGAACTGTGGATACGAACTTGCAAAGAAAGGATTGAAAATTTCGCATTTGTTGTACGTGGATGATTTGAAGCTGTTTGGTAAAACAAAAAGTGAACTGAATTCACTAATTGAAAGCACAAAAGAATTTAGCCAGGACACTGGCATGCACTTTGGAATTGACAAATGTGCAACAATGGCAATCAAAGCAGGCAAGGTCATAGAAGATGATGGAATAGAACTTGAAAATGAAGAAATGATAAAGGCAGTGAAACCAGAAGAAGGCTACAAGTACTTAGGGATTTTGGAAGCCTCTGGTTTAATGAATAATAAAGTCAAGGAATCAACTTCAGCTGAGTCCATTCAAGATTTTAAAGTCCAAACTGAGTGGTGGAAACATCCTAAAAACAATAAATACCTGGGCTATACCTGTGATTCGATACTCTGCAGGAATAATTGACAGGACCCAGATGGAGCTGGACAATTTGGACAGAAAAATAAGAAGCTTATGCGCAGGGGGCTGTAGTAGAAGACTTCTAAAGTGTCTTCCAGCTCTATTCTGATTGATTACAATAACCACCAGTCGGAAAATAGATTTTAGTCTGAGGTGTCTAGCAAAGACTGGAGAAGATCAATTTATCAAATTGCCATAAGACGCGCTAATTTTAAATTTGACAAGTCATTATCAAAGCGTTGATGCAGGAAACACAACAGAACCTCAACGTTACATTTCTACACGTTCTCTTATTTGACACCTGTCTGTCTGATCTCACTTTTGGAGAACTGGCGGAAATGACGACGCGCTGGTTACCGAGGCCCATGCCCGAGACGGAATGTTTCCGGGTCACGTGGCGGAAATCGGGCAAGTTGGGTGGGGCGGCGCGCCGGAGAGCTGGGGCCGGCTCCTGTTCTGCCAAGATGGCTTCTCTTCTTCAGTCGGACCGCGTCTCCTATCTGGTGCGCGGCGAAAAGGAGATCCGCATGCCGCTTTCGCAGCTGTATTTCTGTCGCTACTGCAGCGAGCTCCGTTCCCTCGAGTGTGTCTCGCATGAGGTAAATTGGCCGTGTTGGAGAGGCTGGGGATATTTCATCGCAAGCCAGCGGTGTGGATTGGCTAACCCTGCTGCCACTCTCAGTCCTAGCCCCACTTCATCCAATTGGCTAAGAGGGATTGTGTTGCCAACATTCCCCGTTTTTCTGGTTCGGAGCTCGAGAACAGAAGGCCGATTGGGGCGCGTGTCCCCCTGTCAGCGTCCCTTTGTGCTGCCTTGGCTGGGTTGAAAGGGAGTTAATTCTGGATAGGGAAGAGAGGAAGAGATTTTTAGGAAGGGTGGAGGGGAATCTTTTAGCATATGTATTTGAAATGACATTTCTTCCCATGAAGTTGCTGCTTTTCCTGTGTAAATTACCATCACTCCCTGTTCAGACATCATCATACTATGCTATGCCTCCCAGTTGGTTACTGTTGCATCCTGAAACAGTTTAAGCCACATCTTATTCTCCCCTCCCCCCCCCCCCCCGCAATATAATTCATATTTATATATTTATGTCCTGCCTGAGTCCAATTGGATTCCAGGTAATATTGGTAATCAGGTACTGCTACCCATCTAACTATATAAAACTTGTATTTGCAAAAAATGCAATGGGCAGTTACGAGTGGGCTACAGACTTGATTCATATTGTGGCGCCTGTAAGTTGCAACATTCTTGGAGCTGTGTTTTGTTATATGCGGCAGAAAAAAATGCCCCATTTCATTTTCATTTTAGATGTATTTATTTTTTTGAAAATGGGACCCTAGGGTGCTGCAAAGCACAAAAAGTATTCCAAAGAATGCTCCTGGCCCCCAGATATATTCTGGAGACATTTTTTAAAAATGAAAATGATTGAGGACTCACTTCAGTTTTGAAGTATGCCCGCGTGTCCAGAAAAGGATAGAAATACACAGATATGATAGAGTAGCCTGAAAGACTAGTAACATTGATTTTTATGTGAGCATTCACAGTGGCCATCCTTTTGGAGGAATTCCCATGACATTTCTCAGAATTCGAGATATGCTGTCCAGTTTGCCAGGCTAGGGGGCATTTGGAATTCAGCACTGTACTTTGTAATACTGAAAATCAATTTATTATACAACCTTATTCAGTTACAATTTAGTATTAGTCTTTTGATCTGCAGAGAAGTGAGTGCACCAATAAAAACATGTAACTTTTGTTCAGATTTTATAGGGGGCTTCCAAATTTTAAACAAATTTTCCATTGATTAAAAAAAGTAGTAAAGGAACTCTGTTGTTTGAATCATTCTAGAAGTGTCCAAGGATGACACTTCTAGAATGTCATCTTCCTAAACCTAATTTTGACATTGTTTGGGTTGCAGTCCCAAGATTGTAAATAACTGTTTTTGACAGTTATTTTACTATTTACTAGTTTTTATTTACTAGTAAATAATATGATCATCCACGAATAAATAATAATATTTACTCATGGATGATCACTTAAACATGAGCCAGCAGTGTGCAGCAGCAGCCAAAAAAGCTCTGTATAAACAGAGGCATAGAAATCAAAATCATGTGAAGTATTACTTCCGTTTTATAAAGCCTTAGTAAGACGACACCTGGAATACTGTATCCAGTTTTGGTCGCCACATTACAAAAAAGATGTTGAGACTCTGGAAGAAGTGCAAAGAAGAGGAACTAAGATGATTAAAAGCCCGGAGATTAAAACATGAAGAACGGTTGCAGGATTTGGGTTTAACTAGTTTAGAGAAAAGAAGGACTAGGGGCGATATGATAGTAGTATTCTAGCATTTGAGAGGTGGCCACAAAGAAGAGTGGGGTCACCTTATTTACCAAAACAGGACAAGGAACAATGGGTGGAAACTAATCAAGGAGAGAAGCAATTTGGAACTAAGGGGAAACTTCCTAACAGTGAGGACAATTAACCAGTGGAACAGCTTGCCTCCAGAAGTTGTGGGTGCTTCATCACTGGAGGTTTTTAAGAAGCAGCGGGTTGGACTACAAGACCTCCAAGATCCCAGCTCTATTTTGATTGGTTGACCCAATTTTGTTCTGTATGAATATGAATGAAGAGGAATATTTTACTTTTTAAATAAAAAAGTAAAAAGGTTACTCTGTTACTCTGTATATGGCTTTGAATGTGAACCAATTTCCATTTTAAAACAGTCTACAACAGGGGTGTCAAACACACAGTCTGCGAGCCTGATGTAGCCTGCACAGGCCACGCCTACCATGGTTCCGCAAGGGCATAAAACAATCATGATACAGCCCGCAATGTGATCGGGTTTGACACCCCTGGTCTATAAGCATTGAACAAGAAATATCTTAAGTCATTATGATTAAATGGTCTTAGTTTGAAGTATTTGTTTTTGAATGACTTACTTTTCAGTTGTTCAGTTCTGAAAAAAAACCTAAAGAGTAATTTAAAAAAAACCTAAAGAGTAATTAAAGAAGGTGACAAGCTATTGGAACCCAGTTGGATAGAAAATAAATTTTAAGAATTGGTTCATGACAGGACACATTCCAAATTTGGTCTTTGGCATCTCCTGTTCAAAATATTAATAGTTGAGAATGAGAAGAATATCTGCTAGAAAATTAATAGAATCGCTGCTGATTATAAGTTTCTTTTTCATCCCAGGTATAATGCCAATTTTAATTGTCATTAATAATCCGGGGGATTGTAGTTTAATAAGGATGCTGAGTATTTTTCTGGTAGAGATCTAAATTTCCTCTCAATAATGTCTAGAATAGAAAGAAATTATGCACAATTTTGGAGAACAATCTTTTCGTTTCATTTAATTGTCAGCCCTTCTGATTCACCTTATGTCTCCTGAGCATGACATTTGATGTTACATTTTAATATTTCATTTTAAAATGGGATAAATTTTCTCCACAAGCCTCAAGGTATATATTTGGAAACTAGCCAGGAGAAGCAGAAGACTCACAACGTTTTTCTGATATTGGATCTTACCTCTACAATTAAAATGCCTATCTGATTTTTCAGAGCAAAATCTGAAGTAACGATCAATAATCAAATTAAAGTTTTATGGTTTATAAATCAGTTTTTAGGATATTGTCCTATCCCAGCTCCTAAAAATCCAAATGTCTTTTTTATTCCAAATATAAGAAGTAGCATTAGTTCAAGTATTGTGGTGAAGAATGATGACTTTTAAAAATTATTTGATAGGTGGATTCTCACTATTGTCCCAGCTGCTTGGAGAATATGCCTTCAGCTGAAGCCAAGCTCAAAAAAAATAGGTAAGGCTACATTCCACATACACACCCTTTCTTTTCCTAAAGCTTTTCTTTTGTATTTTGCATAATCTCTTTATATTTAACCACATACTTATTAATTTGAAACCCTCTTTGAATTTAATAGTACAGGTAGTCCTTGATTTACAATCATAATTGAACCTAAAATTTCTGTTGCTAAGTGAGATATTTATTAAGTGAGTTTTATCTTGTTTTATGACCTTTCTTGCCACAGTTGTTAAGTGAACCACTGCATTTGTTTAGTAACACAGTTGCCATACAGTTAAGTGAATTTCAGTTCTCCATTGACTTTGCTTGTCAGAAGATTACAAACTGTGATCACATGATGATGGGACACTGCAACTGTCATAAATACGAGTCAGTTACCAAGTGTCTGAATTTTGATCACGTGACCATGGGGATGCTGCAAAGGTCATAAGTGTGAAAAACTGACATAAATCACGTTTTTCAGTGTTGTTGAAACTTCAGAAGGTTACTAAATGAACTGTTGTAAGTGGGAGGACTATCTGTATAGAATCTTAACAGATTGATTATTACAAAATCTGAAGATATATGCATGGCAAGGTTTTTGTATTTTTATAAAGGAAGAGATAACATTAATTTGCTTCCTGTTGATTGCTCTATGAATTTTTCTGAGCAAAAAATACTATTTTAAAACTTATTATTAGAAGCAATTTTTGAATTATATGTACATTTATAAATCAAGAAATTTGGCTCCAATTTATACACAGTTTTTAATTTCAAATCAATATGGTTTACATAACAATGAGCATTGTCTCTCTAAGAAGGAAAATATAATCAAATCCATTCAATTAAAAAGCTAATACTGGTATCTTCTTGCTTAGGTGTGCTAACTGTTTTGATTGTCCTTGCTGTATGCACACTCTTTCTACCCGAGCAACAAGCATTCCTGCTCCATTGCCTGATGATCCAGCTAAAACTACAATGAAAAAAGCTTATTATCTGGCCTGTGGATTTTGCCGCTGGACATCCAGGGATGTTGGCATGGCAGATAAATCAGTTGGTGAGTATCATATCTAAAATAAATGGGACAAGGATGGCTTAAAAAACACTACATGTTATGCAGAGTTATTGGTCAAATGGGGAACACTGTTATATTATGCTAAAAACTGGTAATATACACAAAGGTTTATAGAATTTGGATGGAATTAAAATTATTGATTAATGGGGTCTTGTCACAAAAAGAATTGGGTTTTATAAATATGTGCTATGTCATTTCAGTTGATAATGAGGGTTTCCAGATATGTTATTGAATAATTCTTATTGAGAATATTTAAACTTCATATTGGATTGGATCAAAAGTTTATCTTGTGCAATTTTTGCAGCAATTGGGAAATATTTTTCCTTGCAATGGACATTTAGAGATAGAACTATCCAGCATGAGTAATTGCTTTAAGAGCTTGATTATTATGGAAAAAAGTAATTCTCTTAGAAAATTTAGCATTATTTCATTCAGAAGATTGTAGAAGATATATATGTATAGTGTGAAGAGTGTGGACAAAACAGGCTTTTGTTGTCTCTCAAAACACTAGAGCTTGATTCATCTGCAAACAATGAATAGTGGAAAATTTAGGACAAAAAAGCATGCAGTATAATTATGGACTTTATTTCTTCAAATATAATGACACTAATTTCGATGTCTTTTTTCATCTTTTCTTTTGAATGAAACAATGCTAAATTTTGTAAGAGAATTACTTTTTCCATATAATTGTACCAAAGGAAGCAGAGGAATAGTAGAACAAAGCTAAAGAAAAACAATGGAGGTAGTTTCAATCATTTCAGCAATTATGTCTCTTAATGCTGGTCCTTCCCAATGGTTCCAAAATTAGCATATATCTCTAACATAAGAGATATAAGAATGGGAACCCTTATTAAAGGCAATTTGAAGGAAAAAAGAATTTGTCAGCCTTCCACTTTTATTTCAAGGAGGGTTGGTCTCCAATATTTGCAGAGAATATTATGAACTCAGAATCCCCTAGGTATCTGTATAGATGTCTGCGCCTTCTCTCTCCCCACAGATATGTTTTGAAGATGAATATAAGAGTGGGATGTTTTGTAATGTTTCATTCTGTAACATTGTACATTGTTGTTACATACTATCTGCTGATTTTCCTTACCGAAGTCTTTTTCACTGTGTGCTATTTCCATAACAATAAAATTCCCTTTCAACCGGAAAATTTGCAAGGGAAAATGGAAGGTACAAAATAGATTTTTAGCACCTGTCTTTGATATTTTATATCCTATGTTCAACAGTCAGTTACTAGACTAGAAACACAAGCTGCTTTCTTACTCATGATGTAGTGATGAAACACACAGTATTATGTCATTCTAAATAACAATTACACAGTATTAGCCCCATGATGGATTTAGCAAATGAGAGAAGCAGACAGTTACTTTCTATATAGTTTATTTTTGACTAGAACATGTGTTTCATGATTATCTTCTTTTTAATTATGGATGTTATTTTTTGTTATATTGCAGCCAGTGGAGGTTGGCAGGAACCTGAAAATCCTTATACACAAAAGGTAACTAAAAAAAACATATCTAGTGATTAAGTTTGAGAGAATAAGTCTCAAGTGACTGAGAGTATTCACAGTCTTCCCCCAACTGATTTAGCAGTGCAATATAAATATTGGCCTCGGTATGAAGTGCACTGGTAGAAAAAGCATCAAGTCCATGTATTTTCCTATAGCTGCCCTGCTTTGAGACACTGCCTTCCTGCACTGATCTTATTAGCCCTGGAAATGCCAGCTATGATCTGTGCAGGGAAGATCACAGTCTTCCTGTATCATTTTTAGAAGAAGGAGGTTACCTTTTGTTTAGGTTAGTTTTTCTTCCCAGATCCATTGTCTTCCTACGAACAACTAGATAGCTTCTAGTCATCAATATATGTAGAAAGTAAAAGCTTATATCAGGGATGTCAAACTGCTGGCTTGCTGGCCGGATGCATCACACACAGATCATGCCCACTCCAGCTCCGCAAAAGGAGAAATCATTGCAATATGTCACATGACACAATTGAGTTTGACACCTGTGACTTAGATCAGCGGTCGCCAACCGGTAGGCCGTGAGAAAATTTTGGTGGGCCGCAGAGAAATCTCACCCCCAGAGCACCCTGCCAAAGCAATTAATCTAGGCTGCACAGAAACACAAGGCTGCTCAGCCCACGTGGCCCACAGGAACCCTCCCCGCCTACTCACTCCTTACCCAGCAAACTTGCCTGCTAAATTGCAATTTTTCCTTTTTCCGACCATCATCTGTTCTGCTGTGCCAGGAGATTTAGATTAGCTAGGAAGCAGGAAATGGTTGGATTTCTTGCTTTCTAGCTAGTCTTTAGATCTTTGGCTCTGCCTTTAAGTATAGCTGAACCTCCCTTAGGACTGAAGGTTTGCTTGCAAGCAAATTCAGTGCAGACTCATGGCAAGCAAATTTGAGAGACTGAGCTATCTGATGGCAGATAGATAGATCACTGAATGATTCTGTGAGCAACTCAATCTGCCTGCTTTGCCTGATTTTGGGTAAAGCTCTTTTTTATAAAAAAAACCAATATTTACATACACAGTGTATTGTGAGTTAATTTTGTGAATTTGCTTACAAGCAAATTTTATGTGACAGGCTGAGCTAGCCGATGGCAGACAGATAGATCACTGAACAATTCTGTGAGCAACTCAGTCTTCCTGCTTTGCCTGATTTTGGGTAAAAGTTGCACTTTTTAATAAAAAATTCAATATTTATATAAATATTTATAATATTTACATACAAGCCATGGCCAGCCAGTCACATGACCACCAAGCCACACCCACAAATTAGGCCATGCCCACAGAACCGGTTAGTGGTCCCTGGAATCTAAAATTACAAGTTTGGTGGTTCTTGAGGTCCAAAAGGTTGGCGACCCCTGACTTAGATGATTTCTGCTTTTCTCTGATATGGGCCTGATTTGACCTTTGAGTACTGATTATCACTTAAGTAAAAGACCCATACAAAGGGAAGGCATCAGTAATTCAAAATTTTCTTTCAGTTTCTCTTTCTGATTCAGTTAGTAGGATGACCTTGGAATTAACGGATTAATTAAGCCAGACGACAAGGCTTGATACATAGAATCATGCTTCAGATCAGCTTAGTTCCTGTTCAGGCATAGACACAGCAGTAGTTAGTCCAAGAATGAAGACAAAACTGGTCTTTATGTAGCTTAGTCTATATAAGTATTGTGTGTGTATGCGCGCACATGCGCATATCCTATTATTTCAATAAAATATGCATTTAAAAACAACAAAAACATAAGCTACAACATGCCAGTGTTAAAATATATGTTGAAATATATATTTTGAGATTTTTTTTAACATGTGGAATTTTTACATGGATAGTTTTAACATTGCAGGTTTATTGAGGAATAAATGAATTTACAAGGAAATAATGAAAGTGAAATAAATCAGGAATGTATTGATTTGTCCGATTTCTGTATGTTCAGCCTTTACAAAAGAACAGTAATGTCCATTTAAATTGATAAATATGTAGTAATGTAGAGTAGTAGCGCAAAATAAACATAAAGAAAATAAATAGGGGAAGAAAGAGTTGCTAGGAAGAGAGAGAGTAAATTTTAAACTCCAGTATGTGAAGGTTTATAAATGCAGTGAAAGGTTTTTTTTAAAAAATTCAGAGTGAATTCAGGGGAAAAAAATCTTGTAAAGAATGTGCTTTCTCATGAATATCTTAAAATGTTTTTTTTAATATATAGATTAATAAACTGGTGGAGTATTATCAACAGTTGGCTCAGAAGGAGAAGATGGAAAGAGATCGTAAAAAATTAGTTCGACGGCGACCGTACATGCCACTGGCTTTTTCGGTAAGCTAGGAAAACAGCATAGAAATTGTTGAGATCACACTTTAAAAATCAGATGTTTAACATTTTAAAATGCAGTGATACAATTGTTGTTGTAGCTGACATTTTTAAAACCGAAGCAAGAAAATTTTAAAAATAATAATTGGACCTTATCTGAAGTTTTCGTAGCTTACGTTTTACCTAGAGGTATCTGCAGGTAGTCCTCAACTTACAATTCATTTAGTGGCTGTTTGACATTACAATGGCACTGAAAAATGTGACTTATGATCACTTTTCACATTTATGACCATTGCACCATCCCCATGGTCTTGTGATCAAAATTAAGATGCTTGATAATTGACTGATATTTATGATAGTTGCAGTGTTCTGGAATCATGTGATTTGCTACCTTTTGACACGCAAAGTCAATGGGGAAGCCAGATTCACTTAACAACTGGGGCAAGAAAGGTCATAAAACGGGGCAAAATGTACTTAACTGTCTCACTTAGCAACAGAAGTTATGGCCTGAAATGTGGTCGTAAGTTGAAAACTATCTGTACGTGAAATAAATGTAGGCATTCATACTGTGAAATCATAAAAGTGACTTGGCTTGTATTTTACAGTGAAGGTTCAGATTTGGAAATGGGCCCCAATACCTTTGATTTTCAAATGCTGGATTACTATTATTCTGTATGCAACGATTTAGCTCATAGTCGGCACAAATGTAATGTCTGAGATATTTGTACTTAAATATGTATTTTGTTTTAATTTTCAGCTTTGCATTCAGTGTCAAATAAAAAGCTTTTTTTTTTTTTCTTGGCTAAATAATTTTGCATATGCTTGCTGCCTTTGGATAACTGTATAACCTGCTTGCTCTATGCATTGCTTTTGTCTTTATTGGTGCATTTTTTTTATCTCCGTTGCTACCTGCCGCTAATTTGGGGGCCCTCCACAGCAACATACTATACATGTAGTGGTAAGTTCCTTTAGTTGGTTCCTTTAGCTGGATTCAGCTAGTCAAATTGTCATTGTTGCATTTGGGTGACTAACATGTTCATAATAGGAAAGTTCATATTCAATCTGAATGAATTAATACACATTTGACTTTAGTAGTCATATAAATCAGTGTATTCCTTAATATTTTTTTTACATAAAACCAAAATTGTTCAGTGTAAGACCATATAAATGTACTGTGCGGTCACAGTACATTTGATGAACTTGAATGCTGTTAAGAACAGTTGGATAGATTTTGCTTGGACAAGTATGTTCTGGATTTCCACTGCCTATGATTTTTTGACACATTTTAGTCCTCTTGAACTATAGACTGCCTATAAATACATTACTCCCTGTCTATAATCTTGCCACTTAAATATTTCTTTCCCTGTTAAAAATAATAAATCCTTTTAAATAGCAATCTTGTATAGAAATGTTAATATAAATTTTATCTGATATGCCATATAGATAAATGAAAATATTTTCCTTTCTTTTAAACTAAAACAATAAGCCACCCACCAAAAGTTTACAAAACAATAGGAGAGTTAGAGAGGCAAAATAATATCCCAAAGTATTTAGCAATTTTATTTATGGTACAAGGCTAAACTTTCTATTCTTACCATGAAGATAACATAGACCAAACTATTAGGAGCAGCAGGGAGATAAGAGATAAGTTACCTGACTCAGTAACATTGCCATATAAACTGCTTTTAACATTGGATTCAGTGAACTATAGCACTTGCCATACTTCTCTGAAAAGTTGCCTGACCTCTTGTACATGTAGATATTTAGTTTCATTTTAGATTTCATTTTTTAGTGCACTGGTCTGGCACTAATGGGAAAAGAACCATTTCAATTATTTTCTGTATGCAGAGGAATACTTTTGAATCTAGCCAACTTTTCCTTAGAAATTGGCAACCTTCAGTTTTGATATCTGTTGTCACAACTCAGAATGTCAATCAATTTGTTGGCAAGTACCTCAGCTAACTGTTAACTCAAGTACAGTATAATGGTGTGATTTCATAACATTACAGTCATTTATGTATTTTTCACCTCTAGATCTTCTTCAGGTCTATTGCAGTAGAGCGGGGGTGTCAAACTCGCATCGTCAAGGCATTGTCACATAACACATCGGGACTGTTTCCCCCTTCGCTAAACCAGGTGGGGGCGGGGCCAGCACATGACGCATCTGGCCTGAGGGCTGCGAGTTTGACACCCCACGCAGCAGAGGGTATTTGGCCACAAAATACTCTCTGGAATTTCCTCCTAGAATTTAAACTATTTATGTTGTAAGTTTCCCAGTGTCATTGGATATGAGATAGGCAGCAAATAAATTTAATAAATAAATATTTATGTTCTGAGCTAGAAGACTTAATCATCAAGTGGAACTTAAATGTAAGCACTAAATCAAAATACTTTTAAGTAGAATAAACGATGATTGAAAGGCTTGTTGCTTTTTTTTTAGCTTTTGTGTGTTTGATTTCTGTTTATCAAATTATCAAAACTTTCTCTGAACAGAAAAAACTTCCAGATGTGCTTTTCTTGTAATTGATACATCTTGTTTTTAAGCTGCCCCAAACCTCAAGATTGTATGTTTTCATTTGCTGTCTCACCTCTTGTTACTGACAGGTAATCCTTGACTCATAACCACAGTTGGAACCAGAATTTTGATTTTAAGTAATTGTGGTAGTAAACTGAGGCACCACGTGATCAGATTCGTTTTTATTACTGTTTTTACAACAGTCATTGAATGAGTCCCTGTGGTAGTTAAAGCAAACTCTGTGGTTGTAAGGGTGAAACACTTTATCCAATGGACATATTTTTGCTGGAAAATGGCAAAAAAGTAGCAAAACGTGATAATATGACTGTGGGACACTGCAAGCTGATTGTAAATGTGAGCTGACTGCCAACCGCCTGAAATACATGACTGTGGAGATGGTGTGGCAATCAACTTCAAGGATGGGTCATACATAACTTTTTTTCCAGTTTCATTACTTTGAAGGGTTGTTAAGCAACCAGTTATAAATCAAGGATTACCTGTATCTCTTGTAGGACAAATATGGCCTTGGAACCAGGCTCCAACGTCAGAGGCCTGGGGCCCCTATCAGCGCCCTTACTGGACTTTCGTGAGTACTAGTTCTTTCATATCAGTGGTTGATTAAAGTTACATTGCTTAATCCCGATTATATAAAATGGAAATAGCCTCAGAATCAAGGATAATTCTGGGTCTTCCTTCTTTAGCTGATTAGTTAAATGCTGTCCTTTCATTACCAGTGTGTGGACATCTAAGATGTACCTGCGATCTTGTCTAAAGTGTCATTTTATAAAAAAAAATACAGTTCATGTTCTTACTTCTAAAATTTGCTATTATCTATATTAATTCAGTGTTAAAATGTAAATTAGGTTGAGTGCTACCGCTTGGTACTTCTATTCCAAGTGCTGCAATAAGATCTGAACATAAAGGCTTGATCTCTAGTAGCTCTATACTGCTTCATTTGAACCAACAATTTAGTACTGCTCAGGTTTTTACGGTTTCTTTTAAAAGCAATCGATCCATTCCCTTTGCCTTAGGCTGAAAGAAGGGGAAGACCACAAGGAGATAAAAATTGAACTAGCTCAGGCTGTGGAAGAAGTAGAACCTTTACCTGAGGATTATTACACAAGGCCAGTCAATCTAACAGAAGGTAATTGTTTAGCTTGTCTTTTCACATTTCTGTCCAAGATTATTGATTCAAATGGTCCTTGTTCTTATTATTCAAAATCATTAACTGAGATTGTGAATTTTCTGAACTTCCTTTGTTGTGAACAGTGACCACCTTAAAGCAGCGTCTCCTGCAGCCAGATTTTCAGCCCATTTGTGCTTCTCAACTTTACCCACGTCATAAACACCTTCTGATCAAACGCTCACTGCGATGCAGGGTATGTAATCACTATGAAAAATTATACAGCCATCACAGAAACTTTTGACAAAATTAGAGATTATATGCAAATTCCAGAATTCCCTGTCCTGGAATTATTACAGTTTTCTTTCAGCTTTGGCCCTTGGCTGATTTTGAATGTAATTGGCATGGGAAGGCACTTTTTGTGAATTCTTAAATTACAATAAATTTGTATTATTTCAATAGGAAAATATTGCTACTCTGTGTCTATACAATGAGGCAGTGTCCTTTATAAATGCATTTTATGAAACCCACTTGTAAATTTATACTGCCAAAAGTGATAATTGCATAGCTTGATCTTTCATGATATCAAGTTCATCTTACTTTGTGTTGTGAGGTCACAAAGATGTAACTTTCCCTGTTTCATTTCAGTGGCTACTGATAATAGTGGTGAGGAGTAATATGGAATACTGACAATTCCAGGCAATGCATGCTAAATAAATAGAATGAGATAGACACTAAGTGCTTAATAACTACAAGTATATTTATCATTGAGTTGAATTCTTTAGTTCTTATTTGAAGCATGAGAACTAATGACTTAAGGGAAGACTAAAAAAAGACTAAGTTCCAAAGATGTAAAGAATCTTACCCTGCAAGATGCATTTAAAATATAATTTTGTATTATTTGTAGAATTTATTGCCAAAATGAATGTAAGTTTAAATGTTATGTTGGATACATTTGTGACGCAGAAGGCAATCTGTAGGTTTTCTGCATCGTGGTTATATTTCTATCAGTTCCTAGGCAAGGTATGTTTCCATCTCCCCCATATTATCTTGTCAAACGCTTGTGGATAGCTGTGATAGGAAACAACATCCTGAACTAAATAAACTTCGACAGTTGTGTTGAAATGTGTCTATGAAGGGGGAGGTGATGTAGTGGATTACAATAATACAGCAGGTTCCCAGGAAGGAGGGACTACATTCCAATGGTTGAACAAGAGGGAGCAGTTTGGAGCTGGATTGTGAGAAGAGGAAGAGATTTAGGTTTCATTTGGCAAGATTCTGTCTATATGGTTATGCAAATAAAGAACTGAAGTTTGACTGTTTTTTTTTTTTACTTCATTCTTGGGCTAGGTCTGAAAATAGAGCAGGTTCTTTTTAGGAAACAAAGTATCTGAATAAAATCTTTCAGCATTTTTATAAGCTATTTCCATTGTTAAGGAAATGCTTTATATTGATATGGATGAATGCCCTTGGTTTTTTTCTCCCGTGCTCATGTCCCTTCTTTTCTTCATATCCCTTCTGGAGAACACTGGGTTCTCTAGCAGTTTTGAGATAGGAGGAATCCATCCCAGTAGCAGTTTCCATTCTACTGTCAACAGCCACTCTTGGATACAGCCACTCTTGGCCGCCCTTACCTTTTGGTTTAGTGAATTGAGTAAAATAAAATGATTCTGCAGTTACATTTATAATTCTTGAGCATAGCTTTACAAACTTCTTATTCTCTTTTTTTCTTTTGTTTGTAGAAATGTGAACACAATTTGAGTAAACCAGAGTTCAACCCCACATCAATAAAATTCAAAATTCAATTGGCTGCTGTGTAAGTATTTTGAAAACTGACTGCAAGAAAACAAAAGACTTGAAGCAAATTCTCGTTGTTGGGACAACTCTGTATCTAATGTATACGGTTTCTTCTAGTAAATACAGGTTCTCACAATCCAAGTTCCAGCACACAGAAAAATAGTGTGCTAGTAGCAGACTTTCTATTTTAGCTTTTCTTGTGAATATAGACACAATAAATGTATGAAAATATAGTTTTCAAAATTCCAATTTTATTAAACAATGCAGTGCAATCAACTAGACATTATGTTAAATATTATGTTTTTCTTTGACAAAGGCTGTAATGTCCATATAATTCAAGTATGTGTGCTTCTAATAGTTTAGTTGGTTTCTGCTCTGGTAGATTGAAAATTAGTATTATTCATTGACAATACGAACTGGCAGGTAAGGTTTATTCTACTTATCCTAGCCAGAAGATAAGATGACTTCTATTCCATGGAGGAAACTGCTTCCTTCAGTCTTTAACCTTGATTTCTAGAAAAAGCCAGCTTTCCTTTCAGCTCTATGGTAAGGGTTGAGAAAGAAAAAATAAATAAAAGGGACTGGGAAAAGCCACACTTGGTTATTTTATTAGTGAGATGGGTGGCATATAAATTTAATAAATAGATTAATAAATAGTGAAAAATTGGTGCTAACACCATGAAGTGTGGGTAATCAAGCTAAGTGATTCTGGCAAGAATAGCTGATCTGTGCTGAAAAGAGATCACACTTGAGATCAGTGATTGGGGGAAAGATATTGCCCATTCAGAGATTGGACAGAATTGTAGAGAATTCATCTCCAAAGCAGTGGAAGCAAGCACCAGTGTTAGTATTTCACACCTCTATAGTACAGCAAAATAATCTCCCGTGTAGCCCATGATATCTATAGCTAGCACACATCTCCTATTGCTTGAGCAAGCCAGTCTTTAGATCTTAGTTGTACCCAATATTGAAACAGTTGCTTGTAACACATCTTTCATGCCGAATGGAAAAGGGGGGGGGGGAAAGGATGACATAGGAAGACGCCATCCTGACATCATCAGGTAAAGAATCTATAACAGCAAAGAGGGCTGCTTGTATGTTGAGATAAGTTCATGAAATGATGGAAGAATCCCCTATCCCACGAAGAGAGAGGCACATGTTTATTGATAGACTGAACAGTCTCCTCCTACAGGATATGCATAGAGAGGTTTAAGAAAGTGGTGGCTGATTTTGTTTATTATCCTATAAACTATCCAACATTGTTCTTCTATTTCATATGTGCTCGTGTCAATAGCAAGTTTTTTCTGTTACTATAGTGATTTACCTCAGAAAGAAGTTAAACTACCCTGCTGAAATAATTGTAGGAAACCCATGTTAAATATATGGTAGCGAAAAACCAGAAGGGAGAGGAAGATGATTATTATTTGGAAAACAAGAAAACTCAAAACTTCTAATAGCACAATTGAGTGAAAGGTAGTTGAGCTCACATACATCAAAAGGTTTCATGGAACATAATGTTTTTTAACATCACAACACTGTATGTAAGCCTGCATAAATGAATTGTGTCCCCCCCCCCTTCCCTCATCCTAATTTGAATCCTATATCACTTTACTAGCTCACAAGTCATAAAATGTGTAAGTCTGAAAAGGTGCTACCAGACTTCTGATTTTCAGCTGAAATTAGTGCATGCTACTGAAGGGAGGGTATTTCTTTCATGGCATAGGAAAATGTCTTCTAGTCCTGCCTACTAGTTGAAAGAAGTGAAATTAACTCTTTCCTGTGAGGTCCATATTACTGTGAATAAAGAAAGGAAATTCACAGTAAGCCCAATTACTGTGTTGTATGAAAAAACAAACTGGAAGCTATACGTTACAACTTAAACAAGTTTAAAAAACTTGTTTCCCAATCATATATTTTGCCAGTTTTTAAAATTCTTCAGTGTTGAGAATAATTTGAAAACTGCATAATTGAAAAATGAGGTATTTAAAATTATAAAGCATAGCAAAAAGACTAGAGACAATGCCATTCATATATTTCCTAATGGTGTTTTTATTTGTATTTATAGCAATTACATCCCAGAAGTGAGAATCATGTCTATTCCTAATCTGCGCTATATGAAGGTTAGTAATTGTTTACTTTAATCTTCTTTTGAGATGGACCTTCAAAGCTTCATGAAGCCTGAATATGAGTGGCTGTTAAATCTTTTTTGTTTAAAATGTAAAAGAGGCCTGGAAAACTAACATGTTGTTTAGTAACATTGATTCAGTGAAGGCATGACTCGTAACTCATGGTTTCACAATCCACTGTTTTTAAATTGGATTCAAAAGTCTATCAGGATGAAAAAATGGAAAAAGATGTCCATAAGGAATACATGACAACATAATGTTAGAAGTTTAATGTCTGCTTTTGAGAATTGTAAATCTTGAAGCATCTCCCTTTTCTTTTGTGTAGCAAAGATTAGGTATAGTGATAATGCCAAACCTTAAGGTGAAAACTGGGAGGTGTCAAACTTCTCTCCCAGAAGCCCTCTCGCTTTAGAAGCCATGGCCCCCTTCCCTAGCATCAGGGTAGTGCTTGTTAATTATTATGATCACCATGTGACTTCCTGAAATGCCTTTGCTTGATGTTCTTTTACTAATCTTGCAAGCTCTTTGGCTTCTGGTAAAAAGCAGAGAAAAAGATTGGGAGAAATTTTTTTTTAAAGATGCTACTCTTTGGCCTCTGTAGCATTGAGGTGTATAATTATGGAAAATAGCCATACCCTACTTTCCTTTGGAAAGCTAGATCATGATTATAAGTTATAATTTGAGAGGAAAATGGCTTTTTAAAAAATAAAGTGAAACATTCAGTGGACAAAGATATTAAACTATATAGTGCTGATATTATCATAAACACTATAGAAATCTCCCACTGGGGAAAAAATCCCTCAATATACATATTTTTTTAAAAAAGAATCTACCAATATAAAAGCAACTCTGAGAGAAAGAGATGCCACTTTCTATCAGACAGGACTGTGTTTATAATAGACAATAACCAGAGATAGGAAATTAAAACCAGAATCCCCTCAAAAATTTTAATGCAGTGATAACTAGGCATATACTTACGCTTCTTAAAGTAGTAATTCCTTGACTCAGATTCCTTCTTCTATCCTTACTGGAACTTTCAGTCTTAAATTTGAGGTTAGAAAGTGAATCTTGACTTCCTCTAACCCAAGCGCACAATTTCTTGCTTCTTTCTCCCAGAGGTCTCTGGCAAAAAGACGTTTTTTTCTATCAAAGAGGAAAGAGTTTGTGGAGAGCAATTAGACTTTGTTATATGCTCCCAGTCTCAGCCATGACTCAGGAAGCACCTTCCATCAAGAAAAAGTCTGGTTGAGAAGTGTATGAACTGGTTGCCTGGGGTAATAAGATGAGTGAAGGTGAAACAGTGAATCTCCTAAAATTTTGTTATGCTGTAGGGTAGCTGCTTGCCATTTCTGATTTTTGTGTTTGATTTTAATTTGGTTGACTGAAAACCAATGTATAATTTTCCTTAATTCCAATATGGACTGAATATTTATAGTTTAGAAAAATGAGTGGGATAATGGCTCATGTTGCTATTTAGGAGGTTAGCACTCCCTAAAAGGGCATCATACAGGCAAAAATATAGAACCATATAGAACCTTCATGAATATTTTGTCTCGTTTATTTCATTCATAGGAAAGTCAAGTTCTTCTAACTCTAACCAATCCAGTGGAAAACCTTACCCATGTGACCTTAAAAGAATGTGAGGAAAATGATCCCGAGGATATTAACAGTACTGCAAAGGTACTATAGCTTCTTATCATCTTACATGTATAAGCTAATGTATATACTCCAATACTATGCTAAAAATATATGAAGTGAATATCTGCATAGTCCTTTTTCAGATTTAGAATGGCTTTCTGCCTTAACACAGCAATGTGTTATTTTTAAAAAAGGAGAGGAGGCTTTTGATACCCATGATTAGTATGGGTATTAGATCTTGTGAGAAGATCTTTTGGCTATGAGAAGTATCCATGGTAGTTCAAATTTCATTAGCAATTACAGTTGTTTTCGTATTTGTTATGAAACCTTTGTTTTGGCTATATCTCTTTTCAGGTGGTGGTTCCTTCCAAGGAACTAATCTTGGCTGGCAAAGATGCAGCAGCAGAATATGATGACTTGGCAGAATCTCAAGATTTCCAGGATGACCCTGAGTAAGTTTGTCTGTCTGCTTTCATAGCTAGACTTGCATTTACCAACTGTTGAAAATTGACCAATGCTTTCCTGACTTTTTCTAGCAGAAAATTACAAAAAATATTGTTTCTCCTTGTAGCAGTAGATTCTAAATAGACTAAATAATATATTTCATAAAGTGCCAATGGCATGTTCTACATCCACCTGATACATATTCCAACATGTTCAGCAGGAAGAATGAACCTACTGCACCAGTGATTTCAGTTCTGGCAAACATCAGAATCAGATGCAGGCTTCATTTGAAATTAGTTTGGATACCTTCGAAAAGGAATTAAATACATTTATGGAGGAGAGATCTATCACTGTTGACAATGCAGCTGAAAAACCTCCAGATTTAAATACAGGAGTGCCACTGGGTACTATCTGCCAGGGAGGTAGTATTTTGATAGAAGTTGCTAGGGAGCAAGTACTAAAGTTTTTTGTGAGCATCCCAAAGGCATTTGGGTGGCTACTGTTGGAAGCAAGATGATGGACCAAATAAATCTTTTCTCTAAGCCAGCCCCAGATTTGTTTTGTAGCCATTTCTTGAGTAATGTAACTACTTAGTCCCATTTCTCCCCCCCCTCCCCCCAATGTACTTACAATAAATTCTCTTCTGGACAATTATTAGGTTAATTCTCTCTAAAGTAGAAAATGAAGTAAAACAATTACTTGAGAAATTATGAATATTTTTAGAATTTTTATCTTTGGGAGTGAGGTGCCATGGTACACTAACCACATTAATACATTTATTTACATATAAGTGTCAATGCTTTTGAACTTTGCAAGTTTATACTAAATATCCATCCCAAATAATTGAACTATTGAAACTGAAGAGAAATAACTAATGAATATTCTTTATATACCCCATGAATTTTAAAGTTGTTATAGTAAAAAGCCTGTCAATTCATTGAAAATCAGTTACAATTTTTAAACATCTAGTAATTTCTTGTTAATTATCTGCACTGAAAGTTTGGATTTTTTTTCTTGTTCTAGAAAATATACAGGTAGTCCTCGATTTTCAGCAGTTTGTTTAGTGACCATCCAAAGTTAAAACAGCACTGGAAAAAGTTTACTTATGACTGTTTCGGCATCCCCATGGTCACATGATCAAAATTCAGATGCTTGGCAACTGACTCATATTTATGATTGCGGTGTCCCAAGGTCATGTGATTACCTTCTGCAATCTTCTGACAAGCAAAGTCAATGGGAAAACCAGATTCATTTTACAATTGTGTTGCTAACTTAACTGCAGTGATTCACTTAGCAAATATGGCAAGAAAGGTAATAAAATGGGGCAAAATTCATTTAATGGAAATTTTGGGCTGAATTATGGTCGTAAGTCGAGGACCACCTGTATTATGTTCAGTAATCCTAACTGTGAGCACACTGGCAGATTAAAAATGAAATTCTGTTGCCTGCTCTCAGAAGATATAAATCTACCCATATACATACTTAACACACATATTCACATACTATACAAATACATATACACACACCTACATACACATATATGTATAAATCATTGTCCATCTTGAATACATATCAGGAGGAGGAAGCTTGAGAGTTCACAAGGTTAATACTATATGGAACAAAACTGTGACTGAATCTGGATGTTCTGCTTCGGATACCACGAAGCCTCCTCCCAGAAGGTAATCAAACAGCTCATGAAGTGGATGTGTAGTATCCCAGACAATACTGTGGATCCTGGACAAGCATCGCTTATACTGTATGATGCTCATGTATGAGGTTGAGAGTATTGCTAGGATTGTTCTTGCAGTATAAATTTGTACAGCTTTTATAGCTTTTAACTATTAAAGCAAGATATAGTATGTGGACTACATCTAGCTCTTCTTCCATTTATGGTAATTAACTATTCTAGTCAAGGTTTTCCTGATGAAAAGATGGGGGAGATGACATTATTTGCTCCTGAGAATTGAGAGATTCTGGAGCAGCATTGAAAGTTTGTAAGATCCAGGAAATTGAATTGGCAATTACTTGAACAACAGACTATTTCAATATTATTGTTGTTTTACTATTGTTGTTGTTATTATTATTTTCCCTGTTTTGTAGCATCATAGCTTTCCGGAAAGCTAACAAAGTTGGGATATTCATCAAAGTTACTCCACAGAAAGAAGAAGGGAAAGTTACTGTAAGCTTTAAGATGAGACATGAGTTCAAAAATCTTGCCGCTCCAATCCGCCCCACAGAGGAAGGTGATCAGAGTTGTGAAGTCATTTGGCTCACCCATCATGTGGAGCTCAGCCTGGGCCCTCTGCTTCCCTGAAGTTTGTGTCTTAATTGGTTGCTAAATGATAGTTTCCTGTTATACTGTGCTTTGAAAATGTATTCTGATAAAATGCTGGTTCTACAGAGATGCCTTCGAAAGTGAAATTTCAGTCAAAAAAGGTAGAGTTGAAACAGAAAAAAGACACTTTTTTTTCTCCTTGCCTCCTCCTCTTCACATCCATTCCATGAATTAGTGATTCTGTCACTATACCACATGCATAATCAAAGTGACAGTACAGGCTTAGTGTGCATGTTTGTAGTTATCTTCTATCTTCGTTTAAAAAAGTCACAACTAGTTCCTTGCAAAATCTTTTACTAGCTTTCCTTACACCAATTTAACCAAGCTAATATTGGACAAAATCTCTTTCCTTCTCTGTACATTTTCTGATAACTAGATTACCACTTTTCTGAGTGTAGTAATTATTTCAACTAGATTTTTCAGTAAAGCAATAATCAACACAGCAGCATGAAATGTCTTGCTTTCCCTATCTGTCAGGCATCTCAAATATTTACTGCTAAGGTTTTTTTGTACCATTTGTGGCATTTCATTGTCTTGTTATGGACAATTCCTGAAAGGAAGACATGAATCAATACAATATCATTGGAGGATTTAACTTCTTAGGTTGGAGAATGCTTATTTAAAGGAAATGCAATTTAGAATAGTTGTATTTGCTGATGTATTGCATTTATTGAAGCAAGAATCCAATTGGGACAAGCACAAGTGTTGTTGTTAAATTATTCCTTTAGGAACAGGATACTGACCAAAGATAGCTCATTATGATTTTAATTACTTTTAATATATAAATTTGAACTTTTAAGACCTCTTGGAAAAGTAGCGACCATCACTATTGTGCAATTTTGCACTGAAGGTGTAAAATCTTATTCTCCTACTGAACAGATTTCATTAAGATTTATAATAGGCAGGTGAATAAATTATTATAAAGTATAATTTCCAAGTTTTGGGTTTTGAATTTTAATGATTTGAAATTTAATATTGTAGCACTGCATGCACATTGTATGTAATGGGAAAATGAAAAGATCTGATTGCAGACTGGTGGCCGTGGGCACTCATTACAGCGTGAATATTTATCATTTAGTCCAAGATAGGAATGGAGAAGGTGAATAGAAATGTATAATTGGAAGATGTACTTAAGGCCCCTGGAAATATATTTCTAATTTGTTAGAAAGTATATCTAAGTAGTTTTAATTTGTTTGGCACTATTTAAATAAAAGTTTCACCTTTGTATTTTGTGCAATTGATGTAAAAAGTTTGATGTAGATACGTTGTGCAGCATGAATTTAAGACATCTAGGCAATATTTATTCAATGTGTAGAACAATATTAATGTCTGATGCTCTCAAATTTATACATTTAACTCCAATTAATCCATGATTTAACTCCCCACACTAATTAAAAGTCCAATAATAAGTTAATATTGTAATGAACTAATATATATTTAAGATTTCTTGTAAACACATATAAAGTTGGGACATACTTGAAAATTTTTTTCTCCTTTGAACCTCTCAGAATATAAGAATACTTGTACATATCTCACTTCACATATCTGTAAAAATATCTCACTGGAGGGATATTCTGCCTTTATCAGTATTAGGATAACTCTGTTGCCTTATTGTATAACTTAGTGAACTTCAAATAAATAAGCAGACAAAGCTGCTTTCGTGTATTTTATTTTATCATATTTAAGATTTTTCTGTCATATTTGTATGACTAGAAATAACCACGGTAACTTTTGGCAATGTTAGCATTGCATGATTTGTAACACTGGACCAATAAATTACTTTTGCACATCTTTTACAAGGCATGCAAAAGTCCCAAATTTTGAATTAAAGATAGTCATCGACTTACGACTACAGTCGAGCCTAAAATTTCTGTTGCAAAGTGAAACATTTGTTAAGAGAGTTTTGCTCCATTTTATGACCTTTCTTGCCATAATTGTTAAGTGAATCACTGTTGTTAATTTAGTAACCAGGTTAAGTGAATCTGGCTTCCCCATTGACTTGGCTTTTTGGAAAGTCACAAAAGGGGATCACATGACCCTGAGACACTGCAGCCATCATAAATATAAACCAATTGCCAAGCATTTGGATTTTGATCACCTGACTATGGGAGTACTGCAATGGCTGTAAGTGTGAAAAACAGTCATAAGTCCCTTTTTCAGTGCCGTTATAATTTTGAACAATCACTAAATGAACTGTTGTAAGTTGAGGATTACCTGTACTCCATAAAAAGTGGGAACGTGTGCGTTTTTTAACATTCACAAATGTACATCTGATCAATGCTTTTTCTATATAAAAGGTTAATTGAAACTATTATCTAACTTACATTGCTATCTTTTAGTTTGTCACTTGTGAAACATTTATTGCACTCATGATTAGAGTAAGATTAGCTGAAAGCATTCATCCACCTTATGTATATCCTATCAAACCAATAAGAAAGCAAATATCAAACACTATTTTAGTAAAATTATTTATGTTTCTCTGTGAAAATCTATTCTATGGTGATGTCTGTTGTGAAACACGTGTTGCAAGTAGAAATCCTTTAGCAAATTAGAACTGAAATTAAAATGCCATTCCAAATGCTTTATAGTGGCAGTCAAAAGGGTAAGACTGGCAATAGTGAGGAACTAAAAGATGCTATAGAACTAGAGTGTATGTACTATGAACACAAGGTAGCTGAGAATTGGGGCTCTATAACACAATGTGTTCTAGAGGGATAAGGGTCCCCTTAGAAGACCTAGCAAAGATCTTTAGAAGAGATGAGAGTCTTGGGAATGCTCTTAATTCAGAACCAACTAATATTCAGCAAACATCACTATAGATAAATAAGCTCTAAACATATCCACGGTGCACTATAGAAACATTTAGAGTTCTTCTATAGAGTAATTTACAATATAAAACCATATATTTAAGACTCTATAACTAACTCCAAGATTCTCCAAATTGTTCATTTGCATTTGATATTTATTCTATTCCACCAAGATTATAGTTTTTTAAAAACTTCAAAAATAGCTTCCTAATTATTTAAATTCATATCATTTCTCTTCCTGCCACCTGCCCATATGGTACAATGAAAAACCTTGAGATACTTGGCATACTGTCTGGTAACAAAAGTAGAATTCAAAATGCTGTGGATTGTGTTTTGTCCAAAAATTTTGTCTGCCAATATGTTATGTTCTAAATTTCAAAAGTGCCATTTATTTTAAAATGCTTAAATGTTCAACCTTAGAGCTGGAGGATAAATCAAGTTGTAAAAAATTATTAGTAAAAAATGGAGTACTGTAAAACGTTCTTTAATTGAAGAATTATACTAGGCAATAACATTGAAAGCTAGTGTCTGATTCTAAGAAAACATTTGCTGAAAATAACATCTACAAAATATTTCTGAAAACCATTATGCATCTGGGCAGTGGAGGTGGGCAATCTGAGTAGAAATAAGTTGCCTGAATTGCCAAATCTGAATTTTAGTTTTGTGTTTGGGACCATATTGATTTGTAATAGAATGTAATAGTTTCCATATACCAAGTAGACATTTTAAAAGAAAAATAATAGAAGTCATTTGATCTTTCACCACATTAACACATTATTCTTCTATGAGAATATGACTACAGCTTTATAATGTTCAGGCAGACAGAGTACAAATGAAGAGCATCCATTAGGATTTCTGTCACAGGATTTTTACACAGAAGTTGGTGTCTTGTGTTTTATGCATATTTTCAAGTAAAAATCATACAGATCTATACCTTGGATCGACATTTTTGTTTCGCAAGGAGTCAAGTATTTCATATGCTGCTTATTGTGCAGACAGCTGTGATTTCATGATTGGTTACTGGTGGGAGCAAAAATCGGGCAAAATCAAACAGATCTGTTCTGTATCCTAGATTTAACACAGCAGTGCCAAAAATTGTGGGCTCTAATCTGAATCCTTGTTTCTGCGTTACAAGTTTGTCCAAAATATATTGAATTTGTGATTGTGATATTATATTGCATGCAGTTAAATGATACTATGGTATTTGAATGTTATATAAAAATATGAAATCAAAAGGATCTGTGTCTTGAATCCCCATTTCTGTGATACTAAATTTTACCAGGGATGTACTTCATGCTGGCAGACATTTCTTATTTGTAATTTCAGATAGATCCCTGATAAAATTGCTAGTAGATAGTTCTTGACTTACAACCACAATTGAGCCCAAAATTTCTGTTGCTAGAAACAGTTGCTAGAAACAGTTGCTAGAAACATTTAAGTGAATTTTATGACCTTTCTTGCCACAGTTATTAAGTGAATCACTGCACTTGTTAAGCTACTAACACAGTTAAATGAATCTGGCTTCCCCGTTGACTTTGCTTGTCAGGTTACAAAAGGTGATCACATGAACATGGGATACTGCAACCATCATAAATATGAGCCATTTGTCAAGCATCTGAATTTAGACCATGTGACCATGGGGATGCTGAAACAGGCATGTGAAAAATCGTCATAAGTCACTTTTTTCAGTGGCATTGTAACTTTGATCACTAAATGAATTGTAAAGTTGAGGACTACCTATATTTAACTGTTTTCCATATTCTGGTTCTGATCAACTCTCTTCTACCTTCTTTCTCATATATCACATATTTTGAAGAGGATATATTTTAAGGATGAAACTTATATTTAAAATAAATATTCTCCAAATGTTAGGAAAGAGAATGATACTGAAAGAGATTTAGAACTAGAGATTTGTAAAGAAAATATAGACCATGTTAATATGAACTGTTAAGCCAGAATTGTCACTGAAGACACAAATGACCAAGCTGAAGTTACCTTACTGTGCAAAGACCTGGCTCTCTGGAAAAAGCTCTGGTTCTTGGAAATTGGAAGAGGACAACTAGCAGTGAAATGGATGGACTGTTACAGTGATGATAGCTGCACTGTTAGAAGAGCTGAAAGACGAGATTAGGGACAGACTGCCATGCAGAAAATCTATGTGGTTTGTTGACTAAAAATCAATACAAACTTGATAGCACAAAATCAGTGTTAACATTAGAATAGTTGAGCACATTTAACCTACAATATTCCATAATTTACTAAAACAACAAATTTGCTAAAAGGGAATAATAATAAAACAAGCAATGATTATTAGTCGTATTCAAACAATTTATATGCCTGCCCATCTTACAATAAATGCCTTTATGATTTGGTGGGGTGGGGTGGTTTAAAACGAAAAAGACGAGTATGTTTTTTTCTGGAGTTTCACGCTCAGAAAAATATGAATAATACACCCTTCGTATGAATTTACGCAGAAGCAAGCTCCACTTTACTCAGTGGGTCTTCTAGATAGCAGCTGAGTTACAAGTAATACTTGCGGAGTAGGCGGTGCTTTTTGAAGGCGAGCTGGTAGTCACCCTGAAATACGATGCTGTACCTACGTGTATCCTAACAATCTAAGTTGTCACTAGTGCTGAAAAATGCACCGGTCCTTTTTTCTCTTTAAGTGTCTATTCCGATTTCCCCCCCGTCCCATCCCAAGACCATCTTAAAACCCTTGGTCTGCAACTACCATAAACTATAGTTAGCAAAAGTCACCTCCTCTTCGCCCACGCTAGCAGTTAAGTCAGCCCGCGCTTGGAGGTCAGGTCTGGGGAGGAACTTCCGTTTCAACCAGTCAAAAGGGAGCGGCCTCATCTAATAGGGCATGAAAAAAAAAAAGACACTCTCACCCGTCTCTTACAGTCATTGGTCAAGAAGCTGGACTACGGAAAGGTACTTCCGGAGTGCGGAGCGTCTATTTCCGGGCCCGCTATTTTTTTTTTTTTTTTAATACTTGAAGCACAATAAAATGGCGACGTCTCTGGGATCCAACACGTACAATCGGCAGAACTGGGAGGATGCGGTAAAAACGTTGTCCTTTGTGTTTGGGTGCCTTGGCTTCGGTAGGAGGGAGAGGGTGGCTCTGAATCGGGCCGGTCCGTTGACATCGTCGTGCTTCGTAGCCGAAGAGGCTTCCATCCGTTGC